GTGGAGGTAAACAGTAAAGTGTTCAGTGATGGTAAACAGTAAAGTTTTCAGTGGAGGTAAACAGTAAAGTGTTCAGTGGAGGTAAACAGCAAAATGTTCAGTGGAGGTAAACAGTAAAGTGTTCAGTGATGGTAAACAGTAAAGTTTTCAGTGGAGGTAAACAGTAAAGTGTTCAGTGATGGTAAACAGTAAAGTGTTCAGTGGAGGTCAACAGTAAAGTGTTCAGTGGAGGTAAACAGTAAAGTGTTCAGTGATGGTAAACAGTAAAGTGTTCAGTGGAGGTAAACAGTAACGCGTTCAGTGATGGTAAACAGTAAAGTGTTCAGTGGAGGTAAACAGTAAAGTGTTCAGTGATGGTAAACAGTAAAGTGTTCAGTGATGGTAAACAGTAACGCGTTCAGTGATGGTAAACAGTAAAGTGTTCAGTGGAGGTAAACAGTAAAGTGTTCAGTGGAGGTAAACAGTAAAGTGTTCAGTGATGGTAAACAGTAAAGTGTTCAGTGGAGGTAAACAGTAACGCGTTCAGTGATGGTAAACAGTAAAGTGTTCAGTGGAGGTAAACAGTAAAGTGTTCAGTGATGGTAAACAGTAAAGTGTTCAGTGATGGTAAACAGTAACGCGTTCAGTGATGGTAAACAGTAAAGTGTTCAGTGGAGGTAAACAGTAAAGTGTTCAGTGGAGGTAAACAGTAAAGTGTTCAGTGGAGGTAAACAGTAAAGTGTTCAGTGATGGTAAACAGTAAAGTGTTCAGTGGAGGTAAACAGTAAAGTGTTCAGTGATGGTAAACAGTAAAGTGTTCAGTGGAGGTAAACAGTAAAGTGTTCAGTGGAGGTAAACAGTAAAGTGTTCAGTGGAGGTAAACAGTAAAGTGTTCGGTGGAGGTAAACAGTAAAGTGTTCGGTGGAGGTAAACAGTAAAGTGTTCAGTGATGGTAAACAGTAAAGTGTTCAGTGATGGTAAACAGTAAAGTGTTCAGTGGAGGTCAACAGTAAAGTGTTCAGTGGAGGTAAACAGTAAAGTGTTCAGTGATGGTAAACAGTAAAGTGTTCAGTGGAGGTAAACAGTAAAGTGTTCAGTGGAGGTAAACAGTAAAGTGTTCAGTGGAGGTAAACAGTAAAGTGTTCAGTGGAGGTAAACAGTAAAGTGTTCAGTGATGGTAAACAGTAAAGTGTTCAGTGATGGTAAACAGTAAAGTGTTCAGTGGAGGTAAACAGTAAAGTGGAGGTAAACAGTAAAGTGTTCAGTGGAGGTAAACAGTAAAGTGGAGGTAAACAGTAAAGTGTTCAGTGGAGGTAAACAGTAAAGTGTTCAGTGATGGTAAACAGTAAAGTGTTCAGTGATGGTAAACAGTAAAGTGTTCAGTGATGGTAAACAGTTCAGTGATGGTAAACAGTAAAGTGTTCAGTGATGGTAAACAGTAAAGTGTTCAGTGATGGTAAACAGTAAAGTGTTCAGTGGAGGTAAACAGTAAAGTGTTCAGTGATGGTAAACAGTAAAGTGTTCAGTGATGGTAAACAGTAAAGTGTTCAGTGATGGTAAACAGTAAAGTGTTCAGTGATGGTAAACAGTAAAGTGTTCAGTGGAGGTAAACAGTAAAGTGTTCAGTGATGGTAAACAGTAAAGTGGTCAGTGATGGTAAACAGTAAAGTGTTCAGTGGAGGTAAACAGTAAAGTGTTCAGTGATGGTAAACAGTAAAGTGTTCAGTGATGGTAAACAGTAAAGTGTTCAGTGATGGTAAACAGTAAAGTGTTCAGTGATGGTAAACAGTAAAGTGTTCAGTGATGGTAAACAGTAAAGTGTCCAGTGGAGGTAAACAGTAAAGTGTTCAGTGGAGGTAAACAGTAAAGTGTTCAGTGATGGTAAACAGTAAAGTGTTCAGTGATGGTAAACAGTAAAGTGTTCAGTGGAGGTAAACAGTAAAGTGTTCAGTGGAGGTAAACAGTAAAGTGTTCAGTGATGGTAAACAGTAAAGTGTCCAGTGGAGGTAAACAGTAAAGTGTCCAGTGGAGGTAAACAGTAAAGTGTTCAGTGATGGTAAACAGTAAAGTGTTCAGTGATGGTAAACAGTAAAGTGTTCAGTGATGGTAAACAGTAAAGTGTCCAGTGGAGGTAAACAGTAAAGTGTTCAGTGGAGGTAAACAGTAAAGTGTTCAGTGATGGTAAACAGTAAAGTGTTCAGTGATGGTAAACAGTAAAGTGTTCAGTGGAGGTAAACAGTAAAGTGTTCAGTGGAGGTAAACAGTAAAGTGTTCAGTGATGGTAAACAGTAAAGTGTCCAGTGGAGGTAAACAGTAAAGTGTCCAGTGGAGGTAAACAGTAAAGTGTTCAGTGGAGGTAAACAGTAAAGTGTTCAGTGATGGTAAACAGTAAAGTGTTCAGTGATGGTAAAAAGTAAAGTGTTCAGTGGAGGTAAACAGTAGAGTGTTCAGTGGAGGTAAACAGTAAAGTGTTCAGTGGAGGTAAACAGTAAAGTGTTCAGTGATGGTAAACAGTAAAGTGTTCAGTGATGGTAAACAGTAACGCGTTCAGTGATGGTAAACAGTAAAGTGTTCAGTGGAGGTAAGCAGTAAAGTGTTCAGTGGAGGTAAACATTAAAGTGTTCAGTGATGGTAAACAGTAAAGTGTTCAGTGATGGTAAACAGTAAAGTTTTCAGTGATGGTAAACAGTAAAGTGTTCAGTGGAGGTAAGCAGTAAAGTGTTCAGTGATGGTAAACAGTAAAGTGTTCAGTGGAGGTAAACAGTAAAGTGTTCAGTGATGGTAAACCGTAAAGTGTTTAGTGATGGTAAACAGTAAAGTGTTCAGTGATGGTAAACAGTAAAGTGTTCAGTGGAGGTAAACAGTAAAGTGTTCAGTGGAGGTAAACAGTAAAGTGTTCAGTGGAGGTAAACAGTAAAGTGTTCAGTGATGGTAAACAGTAAAGTGTTCAGTGATGGTAAACAGTAAAGTGTTCAGTGGAGGTAAACAGTAAAGTGTTCAGTGGAGGTAAACAGTAAAGTGTTCAGTGGAGGTAAACAGTAAAGTGTTCAGTGGAGGTAAACAGTAAAGTGTTCAGTGATGGTAAACAGTAAAGTGTTCAGTGATGGTAAACAGTAAAGTGTTCAGTGGAGGTAAACAGTAAAGTGTTCAGTGGAGGTAAACAGTAAAGTGTTCAGTGGAGGTAAACAGTAAAGTGTTCAGTGGATTTAAACAGTAAAGTGTTCAGTGGAGGTAAACAGTAAAGTGTTCAGTGATGGTAAACAGTAAAGTGTTCAGTGATGGTAAACAGTAAAGTGTTCAGTGGAGGTAAGCAGTAAAGTGTTCAGTGGAGGTAAACAGTAAAGTGTTCAGTGATGGTAAACAGTAAAGTGTTCAGTGGAGGTAAACAGTAAAGTGTTCAGTGATGGTAAACAGTAAAGTGTTCAGTGATGGTAAACAGTAAAGTGTTCAGTGGAGGTAAACAGTAAAGTGTTCAGTGATGGTGAACAGTAAAGTGTTCAGTGATGGTAAACAGTAAAGTGTTCAGTGGAGGTAAACAGTAAAGTGTTCAGTGATGGTAAACAGTAAAGTGTTCAGTGATGGTAAACAGTAAAGTGTTCAGTGATGGTAAACAGTAAAGTGTTCAGTGATGGTAAACAGTAAAGTGTTCAGTGGAGGTAAACAGTAAAGTGTTCAGTGATGGTAAACAGTAAAGTGTTCAGTGGAGGTAAACAGTAAAGTGTTCAGTGGAGGTAAACAGTAAAGTGTTCAGTGGAGGTAAACAGTAAAGTGTTCAGTGATGGTAAACAGTAAAGTGTTCAGTGGAGGTAAACAGTAAAGTGTTCAGTGGAGGTAAACAGTAAAGTGTTCAGTGATGGTAAACAGTAAAGTGTTCAGTGATGGTAAACAGTAAAGTGTTCAGTGGAGGTAAACAGTAAAGTGTTCAGTGATGGTAAACAGTAAAGTGTTCAGTGGAGATAAACAGTAAATTGTTCAGTGGAGGTAAACAGTAAAGTGTTCAGTGATGGTAAACAGTAAAGTGTTCAGTGGAGGTAAACAGTAAAGTGTTCAGTGGAGGTAAACAGTAAAGTGTTCAGTGATGGTAAACAGTAAAGTGTTCAGTAGAGGTAAACAGTAAAGTGTTCAGTTGAGGTAAACAGTAAAGTGTTCAGTGGAGGTAAACAGTAAAGTGTTCAGTGATGGTAAACAGTAAAGTGTTCAGTGATGGTAAACAGTAAAGTGTTCAGTGGAGATAAACAGTAAATTGTTCAGTGGAGGTAAACAGTAAAGTGTTCAGTGATGGTAAACAGTAAAGTGTTCAGTGGAGGTAAACAGTAAAGTGTTCAGTGGAGGTAAACAGTAAAGTGTTCAGTGATGGTAAACAGTAAAGTGTTCATTGATGGTAAACAGTAAAGTGTTCAGTGATGGTAAACAGTAAAGTGTTCAGTGGAGGTAAACAGTAAAGTGTTCAGTGGAGGTAAACAGTAAAGTGTTCAGTGATGGTAAACAGTAAAGTGTTCAGTGATGGTAAACAGTAAAGTGTTCAGTGGAGGTAAACAGTAAAGGGTTCAGTGGAGGTAAACAGTAAAGTGTTCAGTGATGGTAAACAGTAAAGTGTTCAGTGGAGGTAAACAGTAAAGTGTTCAGTGGAGGTAAACAGTAAAGTGTTCAGTGATGGTAAGCAGTAAAGTGTTCAGTGGAGGTAAACAGTAAAGTGTTCAGTGATGGTAAACAGTAAAGTGTTCAGTGGAGGTAAACAGTAAAGTGTTCAGTGGAGGTAAACAGTAAAGTGTTCAGTGATGGTAAACAGTAAAGTGTTCAGTGGAGGTAAACAGTAAAGTGTTCAGTGGAGGTAAACAGTAAAGTGTTCAGTGATGGTAAACAGTAAAGTGTTTAGTGATGGTAAACAGTAAAGTGTTCAGTGGAGGTAAACAGTAAAGTGTTCAGTGATGGTAAACAGTAAAGTGTTCAGTGATGGTAAACAGTAAAGTGTTCAGTGATGGTAAACAGTAAAGTGTAAGCCTCTGTGTGGTTGTCTCCAGGCGTTTGCTGCAGATGGGGGTGTTTAACTGCCAGCTGTATAATAACCTGGGCTTGTGCTGCTTCTACGCGCAGCAGTATGACATGACGCTGTCCTCCTTCGAGCGAGCACTAGCCCTGGTGTCCAGCGACGAGGAGCAGGCCGATGTCTGGTACAATCTGGGACACGTTGCAGTGGTGAGCAGAAACACTCACACAGGCTTTAGGTCACGCGTATGACAGTCGCAGATGAGGAAGAGCCTGGCCCGAAACAAAGTGTTCACTCAGCAGTTCTCACTTACTCTTTCGTGATTTAGACACTTAGTAATTCATATCGAGTCAGGAGTTTGATTAAGATTTATTTCACGCAATGAAACCAAACCTTTAACAGAACATCAAAAGGCAGGTATACTTCTACAAACAAACACAGTATAATGACTTTTTATCCCTTTTTTACTGTAGATTTTCTGAGATTTTTCTATATCAGCTGGATTAGAAATTTGTGTTTGTAATAAAATAGCATATTGATTGAGAAGGAAAAGTATTAAAGTATTAAATGTTGCCATTGTGCCCAAAGCAGAAACATTGGATACACTTCATTTGAAGGTGACGTAGTTACATTGTACTGAGTAATATTAATTACCTACATGTACTTTAGAGTTATGGTTAGGGTATGGTTTAGTTACTTGTAATTACGCATAAATTACTGTTAGTACTTGACTAGTATGTATGTAGTAACTTGTAACTACGTCACCTAAAAATAAAGTGTTACTTAAACATTTGATGGATAATCTGATTCCATGAGCCAAGTTATTAATCATATAGATGTTTGTGTATTCTCTGTGTTGTGCAGGGCATTGGTGACTTGACTCTGGCTTACCAATGCTTCAAACTGGCCTTGGCTTTCAACAACAACCATGGAGAAGCTTACAATAACTTGGCTGTATTAGAGCTACGGAAAGGCCGAATCGAGCAGGTCAGTTTAGTCTTCCCTAACAGTCTCATGATAGCTAACGTAATCACCACACACACACACACACACACACACACACACACACACACACACACACACACACACACACACACACACACACACACACACACACACACACACACACACACACACACACACACTACCACACACACACACACACACACTACCACACACACACTACCCGGAATTTGCTCAATCTTTCCTTAAAAGAGGTTGTACCGTTCATGTACTTTACCTGATATCCAAATCAAATCCTGAGCTTGTGAATCTGAATCAGTCAAATCATGGTTTGTGAAGTCTTGTGTCAATACTCTGCCCTAAACTGGTTCAGGTGTGTTTAATTCCACTTCGCTTTTAGACACACACTCTCAAACTGCCCTCAGCACTCCCACGGGTGAATCTCGCAACCATTTTGAAGTGTGTTTCACTTCATCTAGTGGACAAGGGAAGTTTATATGGACAGACCCTTAACCCCTCGATTTGGACTTCGTGGAGGTGGAGGTAAACAGTAAAGTGTTCAGTGGAGGTAAACAGTAAAGTGTTCAGTGGAGGTAAACAGTAAAGTGTCCAGTGGAGGTAAACAGTAAAGTGTTCAGTGATGGTAAACAGTAAAGTGTTCAGTGATGGTAAACAGTAAAGTGTTCAGTGGAGGTAAACAGTAAAGTGTTCAGTGGAGGTAAACAGTAAAGTGTTCAGTGGAGGTAAACAGTAAAGTGTTCAGTGGAGGTAAACAGTAAAGTGTTCAGTGGAGGTAAACAGTAAAGTGTTCAGTGATGGTAAACAGTAAAGTGTTCAGTGATGGTAAACAGTAAAGTGTTCAGTGATGGTAAACAGTAAAGTGTTCAGTGGAGGTAAACAGTAAAGTGTTCAGTGGAGGTAAACAGTAAAATGTTCAGTGGAGGTAAACAGTAAAATGTTCAGTGGAGGTAAACAGTAAAGTGTTCAGTGATGGTAAACAGTAAATGGTAAATGGTAAATGGACTGCATTTATATAGCGCTTTCACAGACCCAATGGCCACCAAAGCGCTTTACATTTGCCTCACATTCACCCATTCACACACTCATTCATACACCGACGGGCGACGGCAGCCATGCAAGGCGCCATCCAGCTCGTCGGGAGCAGCCGGGGTTAGGTGTCTTGCTCATGGACACCTCGACACTTGGTCAGGTGGAACCGAGGATTGAACCACCAACCTTCCGGTTTGTAGACAACCCACATGAACCACCGAGCCACTGCCGCCCCAGTAAAGTGTTCAGTGATGGTAAACAGTAAAGTGTTCAGTGATGGTAAACAGTAAAGTGTTCAGTGATGGTAAACAGTAAAGTGTTCAGTGATGGTAAACAGTAAAGTGTTCAGTGATGGTAAACAGTAAAGTGTTCAGTGATGGTAAACAGTAAAGTGTTCAGTGATGGTAAACAGTAAAGTGTTCAGTGATGGTAAACAGTAAAGTGTTCAGTGGAGGTAAACAGTAAAGTGTTCAGTGATGGTAAACAGTAAATTGTTCAGTGGAGGTAAACAGTAAAGTGTTCAGTGGAGGTAAACAGTAAAGTGTTCAGTGATGGTAAACAGTAAAGTGTTCAGTGGAGGTAAACAGTAAAGTGTTCAGTGGAGGTAAACAGTAAAGTGTTCAGTGGAGGTAAACAGTAAAGTGTTCAGTGATGGTAAACAGTAAAGTGTTCAGTGATGGTAAACAGTAAAGTGTTCAGTGGAGGTAAACAGTAAAGTGTTCAGTGGAGGTAAACAGTAAAGTGTTCAGTGGAGGTAAACAGTAAAGTGTTCAGTGGAGGTAAACAGTAAAGTGTTCAGTGATGGTAAACAGTAAAGTGTTCAGTGGAGGTAAACAGTAAAGTGTTCAGTGATGGTAAACAGTAAAGTGTTCAGTGATGGTAAACAGTAAAGTGTTCAGTGATGGTAAACAGTAAAGTGTTCAGTGATGGTAAACAGTAAAGTGTTCAGTGGAGGTAAACAGTAAAGTGTTCAGTGGAGGTAAACAGTAAAGTGTTCAGTGATGGTAAACAGTAAATTGTTCAGTGGAGGTAAACAGTAAAGTGTTCAGTGGAGGTAAACAGTAAAGTGTTCAGTGATGGTAAACAGTAAAGTGTTCAGTGGAGGTAAACAGTAAAGTGTTCAGTGGAGGTAAACAGTAAAGTGTTCAGTGGAGGTAAACAGTAAAGTGTTCAGTGGAGGTAAACAGTAAAGTGTTCAGTGATGGTAAACAGTAAAGTGTTCAGTGGAGGTAAACAGTAAAGTGTTCAGTGGAGGTAAACAGTAAAGTGTTCAGTGGAGGTAAACAGTAAAGTGTTCAGTGGAGATAAACAGTAAAGTGTTCAGTGGAGGTAAACAGTAAAGTGTTCAGTGGAGGTAAACAGTAAAGTGTTCAGTGGAGGTAAACAGTAAAGTGTTCAGTGATGGTAAACAGTAAAGTGTTCAGTGGAGGTAAACAGTAAAGTGTTCAGTGATGGTAAACAGTAAAGTGTTCAGTGATGGTAAACAGTAAAGTGTTCAGTGGAGGTAAACAGTAAAGTGTTCAGTGGAGGTTAACAGTAAAGTGTTCAGTGGAGGTAAACAGTAAAGTGTTCAGTGATGGTAAACAGTAAAGTGTTCAGTGATGGTAAACAGTAAAGCGTTCAGTGATGGTAAACAGTAAAGTGTTCAGTTGAGGTAAACAGTAAAATGTTCAGTGGAGGTAAACAGTAAAGTGTTCAGTGGAGGTAAACAGTAAAGTGTTCAGTGGAGGTAAACAGTAAAGTGTTCAGTGGAGGTAAACAGTAAAATGTTCAGTGGAGGTAAACAGTAAAATGTTCAGTGGAGGTAAACAGTAAAGTGTTCAGTGATGGTAAACAGTAAATGGTAAATGGTAAATGGACTGCATTTATATAGCGCTTTCACAGACCCAATGGCCACCAAAGCGCTTTACATTTGCCTCACATTCACCCATTCACACACTCATTCATACACCGACGGGCGACGGCAGCCATGCAAGGCGCCATCCAGCTCGTCGGGAGCAGCCGGGGTTAGGTGTCTTGCTCATGGACACCTCGACACTTGGTCAGGTGGAACCGAGGATTGAACCACCAACCTTCCGGTTTGTAGACAACCCACATGAACCACCGAGCCACTGCCGCCCCAGTAAAGTGTTCAGTGATGGTAAACAGTAAAGTGTTCAGTGATGGTAAACAGTAAAGTGTTCAGTGGAGGTAAACAGTAAAGTGTTCAGTGGAGGTAAACAGTAAAGTGTTCAGTGGAGGTAAACAGTAAAGTGTTCAGTGGAGGTAAACAGTAAAGTGTTCAGTGATGGTAAACAGTAAAGTGTTCAGTGGAGGTAAACAGTAAAGTGTTCAGTGATGGTAAACAGTAAAGTGTTCAGTGATGGTAAACAGTAAAGTGTTCAGTGATGGTAAACAGTAAAGTGTTCAGTGATGGTAAACAGTAAAGTGTTCAGTGGAGGTAAACAGTAAAGTGTTCAGTGGAGGTAAACAGTAAAGTGTTCAGTGATGGTAAACAGTAAATTGTTCAGTGGAGGTAAACAGTAAAGTGTTCAGTGGAGGTAAACAGTAAAGTGTTCAGTGATGGTAAACAGTAAAGTGTTCAGTGGAGGTAAACAGTAAAGTGTTCAGTGGAGGTAAACAGTAAAGTGTTCAGTGGAGGTAAACAGTAAAGTGTTCAGTGGAGGTAAACAGTAAAGTGTTCAGTGATGGTAAACAGTAAAGTGTTCAGTGGAGGTAAACAGTAAAGTGTTCAGTGGAGGTAAACAGTAAAGTGTTCAGTGGAGGTAAACAGTAAAGTGTTCAGTGGAGATAAACAGTAAAGTGTTCAGTGGAGGTAAACAGTAAAGTGTTCAGTGGAGGTAAACAGTAAAGTGTTCAGTGGAGGTAAACAGTAAAGTGTTCAGTGATGGTAAACAGTAAAGTGTTCAGTGGAGGTAAACAGTAAAGTGTTCAGTGATGGTAAACAGTAAAGTGTTCAGTGATGGTAAACAGTAAAGTGTTCAGTGGAGGTAAACAGTAAAGTGTTCAGTGGAGGTTAACAGTAAAGTGTTCAGTGGAGGTAAACAGTAAAGTGTTCAGTGATGGTAAACAGTAAAGTGTTCAGTGATGGTAAACAGTAAAGTGTTCAGTGGAGGTAAACAGTAAAGTGTTCAGTGATGGTAAACAGGAAAGTGTTCAGTGATGGTAAACAGTAAAGTGTTCAGTGGAGGTAAACAGTAAAGTGTTCAGTGATGGTAAACAGTAAAGTGTTCAGTGATGGTTAACAGTAAAGTGTTCAGTGATGGTAAACAGTAAAGTGTTCAGTGGAGGTAAACAGTAAAGTGTTCAGTGGAGGTAAACAGTAAAGTGTTCAGTGGAGGTAAACAGTAAAGTGTTTAGTGATGGTAAACAGTAAAGTGTTCAGTGATGGTAAACAGTAAAGCGTTCAGTGATGGTAAACAGTAAAGTGTTCAGTGGAGGTAAACAGTAAAATGTTCAGTGGAGGTAAACAGTAAAGTGTTCAGTGATGGTAAACAGTAAAGTGTTCAGTGATGGTAAACAGTTAAGTGTTCAGTGGAGGTAAACAGTAAAGTGTTCAGTGATGGTAAACAGTAAAGTGTTCAGTGGAGGTAAACAGTAAAGTGTTCAGTGATGGTAAACAGTAAAGTGTTCAGTGATGGTAAACAGTAAAGTGTTCAGTGGAGGTAAACAGTAAAGTGTTCAGTGATGGTAAACAGTAAAGTGTTCAGTGATGGTAAACAGTAAAGTGTTCAGTGATGGTAAACAGTAAAGTGTTCAGTGGAGGTAAACAGTAAAGTGTTCAGTGGAGGTAAACAGTAAAGTGTTCAGTGGAGGTAAACAGTAAAGTGTTCAGTGGAGGTAAACAGTAAAGTGTTCAGTGATGGTAAACAGTAAAGTGTTCAGTGGAGGTAAACAGTAAAGTGTTCAGTGGAGGTAAACAGTAAAGTGTTCAGTGATGGTAAACAGTAAAGTGTTCAGTGGAGCAGAGTTTC